ATCTTGATATTGACAAAAGTTCAGCTATTAACTGAGGCTAGATAACAGAAGGGCAGAGACAAATTGCTTGGAAATGCTGAAAAGAGCAAAACCCCACATGTTTTGGGCCAGAGACTGACCAGATGTTATAGTTCTGAATTTTGTGTGTCCAAGGACCAATACTGTGATGTTTGATATTTGCCAGAATGCCCATGTTCAGCTTGACCCCCAAATATCCTAGCAATTATTTTCTTACAGTGTGTACTTTTTACTGTGGATTTCATTGTGGAAACAAACATCGCTGTTTGACCACGTGTCTGTTAAGGTCTTTTTCTTTCTTTGAAGAATTTGCAATTATCAAATGTGTACTATGCACCTCAGTGTGCAAATGTCTTATTGTAAATAGTAAAAATTGAGATTTGGAATTTAATGGTGCTTAGAGAAAGTTGACAATGATGGGACTTTTTATATTTAAAAATCTTTCTCCAGAAAGAATCAGTCTTGCTATCACACAAATCTAATACAGAGTGTTGATTACTTTCTGGTCTAGCTCTATCCATGATCTCAAAATGAATTTTGTTTTTAAGGGGGAAGGGGAAATGAGTGGGTTTAATTTTTTCCTGGTTTTTCTGTAAATAGACTAAGTACATAGAAATTTGATATTAAAACTCTGTACAAATAACACAGTTCTATTCAATTTTCAGAAAGAATTTGTGTTTTCCTTAAACATTTTCAGTTTTTTCTCAGCAGAACCTAATTTTTCCTGAAGTCACTGCAAGTAATACATAATTCATTCAAATATGTAAACTTTTTCTATTTGTTTAAAAATAGCAAATAGTTTATTGACAAAAGAAAACAACTCCAAGATAAAAGCACATAAATATGTTGAACCTCCAGAAAGTATTACTAAACTTTTCAAAGACAATTTGTTTTAAACCAAAACAAAAACAAAAACCCCAAAACAAACAAACAAACAAACAAAAAATCCCCAAGCCTTCAATGTAAATATTTCCTAACCTCTTCTAAAAGATTTATCTGATATTTTCTGATTCTAGCAGAATTTTTACAGGTTATCCTCACTGGTTTGTTCAGTATAGGAAAATATGTAAGGATAATTTCAGAGACAAATTTTCAGTATTTGGTAGAAATTTTACGTGGCTGATTAGTTCAAATCAACATTCTAAGATAAGAAGCAGTTGTACGCCTGGGGAGATTGTGAAAATCCCTTTAAATAGCCTAGATCCCAAACTCTTTATATATCCAAAATTTTTTTGCAGTTTGACCAATTTTCTGTCTCTTCAAAGACAAATTTTCCTCTTATGGACAGAAGTTGAATTTCACAGCCACAAAGCAATGCTTTGTTACGCTGGTGCTTAGCCAAACTTTGCCAAGAAATGCTGGAAAAGTGAAGGAAGCCAAGGATTAAATTCTACCCCCTCTTCAGCACTTTAAATTGACTGGTTTAAACTTCTCACTTGTGTCCTGGACAATAGGAATCTCTTTTTAGTCATTTGCTTTTTCATTCCTATTTAACTTGTTATAAATCTTAATGTCTGAGAAAGATTGGCAATCTTTATTCCTCAAATCAGAGATCTATGTAGTAATAGAAATGTTCCAAGTTATAACTTGTATTTTAATCATACCAAGACTTAAACTATTTACTTCTTGATAGAATAATTGAAACAGGTACTGCATAAAACAGTGCAGTATATACAATATATAACATAATATGTATAATATATAATATATAATGTATATGTGTTGTATTATAACGATAGTATATAATGAAGTGTATTGAATAAACAAATATGATAAAATGCAATGATAGCTAGCTGTAAAACATTTCTTGAAAGGTATCTTATTAAAGGCTGCAAAGAATGAGATTATTTCAGATATGTTTTTCTCACTGTTTCATTTATTTTTGCAGTTGTATGAGTTACAATGTTTGTGACTTCACTGATAGGTCAGAGAAGATAGATATAATTAAGTATTCACAGATGCACCAGTGAGGTGTAAAACTTACCATGTTCTTTTGCATTGTGATGAAGTTCCCATGGATCTTTAATTTTTATGAAATATTCACAATAGTATTGTACATTGACCAGCAGGGCAATCAAATCTCAATCATTCATGTTACTATTATTCTTACCCTTTGAATTTTCACAGCACATTTTCCTGACTACTCATTTGAATATGAGAGAACCCACCAGACAACTACTTTTCTTTGTGTTATAAAAATATTGTAAATTTACATTGCAAAGAACAACTACAAGAGAGAAATATTCAATGTCTATTTAAATTAGTGCAGACAAAAACTGAGCAAAAATAAAATGAGGATTTTTATGAAAAAAAAAAAGGAATAGTTCACTAAATCCCATGTTAAATGGCTAAACAATAGAGGAAATACAGAGTATGGTACTCTGGTGTTTAGAAAACAATTGTGTGGTAATAAATGAGGAGTTTTGTTGTCTATAATTTTCATGCAAATCCTGACTTCTGGCAGAAGATTTTTTGTAGATTTTTTTCTCCTTGTCATTTTTATTACTAGTCTGTCGGTTGTGTGCAAATGTTAGAAGCTATATGAAAATACATGGAGAGACAGCCCTTAGCCAAAAAAAAATGCAAGTCTGAAGATTAAAAAGTGGAAATGGAAGTACTAAAAAACATCTTACTAAGAGTGATACAGCAGGTTAGTGGATGAGACAGGTCTACCAGTCAAGGCTACTGCTTTCTAGACCAGTGATCTTACTTGTGATAAACTATCTCTATGAGTTAAGTAAAATGAGTTTAGCCACACAGTCAATAAATGTACACAGATGATACTAACAAGAAGCTAAGAATTATATGAGGACAAATACAGTTTGGGTTTTTTTCTGGATCTTGACAAAAATGAACACAATACTGTCCATGTCAGATTTTCCCAATAGAGTGGTACTTGCACACTGAACTCGGCAGCACGGGGGATACCAGCGGTTCCTTGTTTACCAGCAACGTGACTGCATTAACTTTTATCTTTATGCCTAAATACTCTGCCATGTTACCTCTTCAGTTTGTGTAATTAGGGCTCTTTAAGATAATGTGGCTGGGTTATTGTCACTTTATTTACACTCCTGTGTAAATATAGGTATATCTAAGATGAGTTTAAACTTTTTAGGTCTTAGAAAACATCAGCAGTCCACTTTATGTCAATATAGAGGTTAATGTGCATTATATTTATGTTTTTCAAATGGTTTGTCTTCAAACTATTGCAGTACCAAGCCTACTGCTATGAATGTTCATAATATTCAGGTTAACTACTTATAGACATGACTTCAAATATGCACATTCTACACAGCAATCTAGAAATATATGGTATTGAGTCTGTCTTATGATAAAGCTCAGAGGCTTGTGGTCTAGGCAGTTTTCCTGGATTTCCATGATGAAATCTGTGCATGTATAAAGTATCTTGTGTTTCCAGAATGTATTTAAAAATCAATAAACTTACAAGAAAATTTTTTTTCTTATTTTCTTCAATATTTTTTCTAAATGTTGCAATATAAAGTAGGTTGCTATACTAAGTTGTTAAGCAAGTCAAAACTATTTGACTGATAACACACATTTGTTTAATAGAGCTGACTGTTTGCTGGGACTCAGGAGGATTGCCCACACATCTCCATTGTGTATTCTTACCTGGAAGGTGGGGTTTGGATCCTCTGGGATGGAGGCAGTCAAAGTGCTGATGACTGTAGCTGTGGCTGTTTTGATCACCAGGAATTGTACAGAGTTCTGTAACAATGGTTTCTTTTTCTATCTTCATATGTGGTAGCTACTGATTTCAAATATGAAATTTCTGCTGGTTAGACTCAATCTTTAGGTGTCCAGAATAGAGGTCATTATACCTTTTCATCCTGAGGAATGAACTGAACTTTAACTGGGAGAAATATTTAACTGAATTCTCTTCTTGCCTGAGCTGTTACTGTTGCATGATCAAAAGTATGAACAGGTTAAAAAATAGTAACATATTTCTTGGCTATTAGACATGGCCTATATTTGACTGCTGTATAAATGACCTCCTTCTTACAAAATAAATTTTCGCTATTTAAAGCTATGTGTATTTTTGAAATTCCTGTGGTCTACTAAAGCTGAAGAAAATCCAGCACAGACATTTCTTTTTATTTTATTTCCATCTAAGTAAATTGATGCAAATGGAGGGACCGGCTGCAGGTTGGAATATTAAAAAAAATCACATGTTCTTCAAAGGTGTGAGGCTAGATGAACATCAAAAATTTTTTTGTTTTACCAAATCTTTCAAAAAATAATGTTGTTATTTCCATCTAAAACGACAGGATGCATTCAGACTTGTGACATCAGAGGAAAGAGCAAAGCAGCAAGTAAACCTGTGTTCCTACAATTAAAGTTGTTTGTTTTCATACTTTTTAATTCTCAGAACATAATTCACTGTCTTTTCTCTTTTTTACTTTTGTACTGGATTTACAGAGAAAATTGTTCTGATAGAAACATATTGATTGCAGTAAAGAACTGTATATTACCTGCACTGCACACCTCACTGAGATATTTAACTGGTGAGAAATGTACTCTGACACAAAACAAAAGCTGTGTTGTCTTTCATTGTAAGAGTTTGCTCTCTACATGGCCTTGAATGTTCATTTCTTTGACAGAAGATAATGATTCATTCTCTTGCTTTGCAGTTTCCAGATGACTAGGTACTTAAAAAGTCAATATTGAATTTCTAAGCAGAAATCCACATAAGATTACAGTAAAGCTCCGCTATCACAGCATTGTATTAAGAGATGTATTGGTATATTTCATATCTATAAAAATAAGAAATTTTAATTTGACTTATGAGCAGTATTTTAAAATGTGCTATCTTGGTTTTAATGATAATGTTTTTGAAAGTTTGACTCTTTTTAGTCTAGATACACTCAAAGTAAAAAATAAAAGTGAATTATTGCTGGAAAAATCATACAAAGTCAGAGTCACTTCATGCTTTGAAACATAATTTTCTTTGTTATTTGTTTAAGGTTTAAAGCCAAGTGATCCAACCATGACTGGCAAAACACAGACCAGCAATGTCACCAATAAGAACGACCCAAAGTCCATCAACTCCAGAGTCTTCATTGGCAATCTGAACACAGCCATTGTCAAAAAAGGTGACATCGAAGCAATCTTTGCAAAGTATGGGAAAATAGTGGGCTGCTCAGTGCACAAAGGTTATGCATTTGTACAGTACATGAGTGAGAGGCATGCAAGAGCTGCAGTGGCAGGAGAGAATGCCAGGATCATCGCAGGGCAGCCACTAGGTAAGGACTTGCTCATATCATAAAATACTGTTTTCTCTTTCCTTTTTATTTGAAATATCATCTGTTGCTGGTGCCTTCATGACTAGTAAGTTTGTTTTGCTGTTGTTCCATCTAAATGTATTTCCAAGATGTTGGATCTGACAGAATGTGTAATGTATGGGGTGTCACTTAGATATTACAAAATGTTTAGTGCTAGAAACTGCTGATTTATTAAATAGATCACTTCTGACAGCTTTATACTTCTCTTTGTAATCCCAGTGTAGTGAACACGATTACTCATGTGAGGAAAACATGAGTATTTTTTCTTGGACTTTAGTTAGTAAATTTAATGTAATATACCAAGGCTCATCTAATAGACGTGGTTATCTTTCATGTAATGAATCTAAAAAAATACCCAGGAGGGTTATGTGTCAAATGTTATACAGAAGAAAAAGAGTAGGTTTTGTTTGTCCTTGACATTGTACCAAATCAAACTGTAATACTGTTATTCATTTAGAGAAGTCTATTATTAAAAACTCAGGTTGCAGTTGTTCGCACATAATACTGTGGACATTGTTCATCTGAACTCCAAATTAAAAAAAAAAGGCCATATTTTTGTTTTCTATTGCTTTGTCATGAGTGCTTAAGTAAGATCTGGTTGTTTCTTTTTGCAACTCTTACCTCTAAAAGCTGAAATTATATATGGAGTCTGTTAATGATAAAATCTTGAGTACAGTACTAACCCCATCTGTCATACATATAGTAGTAATGGACAGTACAACAAGATGTTTTGTAGGAGCCAGAGATCTGGCATATTCATTTTCAATGTTGCAGGCTGTGGAAGTCTATTTTTCTGATGTTTGTAGAAATCAAAACATTTGTGTTAGATGGGTTGTTCTTTTGTCATAGTTGTTCAGTAATTTTAAGTTTTATAACTTCTATCTTTTGGGTTCAAAAAAAACCCAGATTGCATAATTTCAATTATATTCAAGGGGAAATTACAACTTTAGTAAAAGTCATATAGATGAGTACAGTAAAAGAACTCAAGTGATAAAAGCAGGGCAGCAGAGTCAGTCTGTGGGATGACATTATTAGAAGACATTTCCTGGAGCGGTGCTCTCCAAGCAATAGGCCATGTAATGCCATCAGTGCATTATTTACAGCTTCTTGCACACTGGTCTGAACAGATTTTTTAAACTGTGTTTTCCTAAGGCAATAGATCTGTTATTACTATGATGACTGTTGCTAGTCTCTTTTAGCGTTTCTTGTGGCACCTATAATATGCCAAGTGTTTTGTACAAGGAGATGTCCTTGCACTATTCAGTGTAGTTTTGTGCTTTCTGTAGCAGGCAAGTGAAGTTGTTGCAAAGGAAATTAAGTGACCAACAACTACTTGAATTGTTTGAATCTTTTAATAATAACAGAAATTTTGCTCAGCACTAAGTTTCAACTGTATAATCTTAAAATACTTTGATTTTTCTGAAAAGTCTTTTGATGACATATTTCATGCCCAAGTTCCTAAAGTATCTAGGAATATAAATAATAAGCAAGGTGAGATTTTCTTTTAGCTGTTCCAAACCTAATTTACTCTTTCTATATATGAAATACAGTTGTCATTGCTACTGTTGGATAAAAAGAATGAATTTGTAAAAATGATACTTCTCATTAGACAAACTCTTTTGATGAGTTCTTTCAATTGGCAGTAAACATTAATAGTCACCTCATATTAATGAGTTGACTGAGAAAATTTACTTGGGATTGTGACCCAGAAGAATAACTAATGTGTAAATTGTTCATTATTGGAAACTCTTGATGAAAATTTACTTTTTTCTCTGTCCTGAGAGCTTTACATTTTGAAATAAACAAAACTAATGAATTTTTATCAACAGTGAAGTTATAAAAGGGGACAAAAAAAGCCTCTTACAGATGTACAAATATACTTGATTAAGCTGAATATTAGCTGAATATTCTTTTAAATGGAATTAGAAAATACTAGTAATATAATGAGGACTGGATGGTAGTCAGTTTTGTAAAGCTATTTGAGCAAAGGAATATTTGAAAAAGTTTATCCCACAGCGTATGCCCAATACTACTATACGCTCTAGTACTCAGTACCTCACAAAAGAAAGAATAACTTCGTTTAGGCTGCATTAATAATGTATATTAGTTCTTTCATACTCTTGCCAAATGAATTGTTTACGTTTGCTCCTGCCTTCTATGGACTCCTGCTATTCAAAATTATGCAGCTTTACCCATGAGTCAGAAACTGTTTGCATGTATGTAACTGAAATTAAGAACTGAACCTGTAAATTTCTATAGCTGTATACGTTGCTACACAATTCACTGGGAATCCTGTATAAATGTTTCTTCTGTGGTAGAGTCCCAAATTATTGAGCTCCATAGGTATTTAACAAGGCATTTTTTTAACAAATTCCTCAGAAGTACAAATTTAAAGCATTGCTATTGCTGTCAGTCTTGCCAGCTTCCTGTGGGTCATTATAATTGGCCTGTTGGTCTCCTCCATCAACTCTAAAACTCCCACTGATGTGTTTGGTGGTCAGTGATATGTAATGGCTGTGCTGTGGATACTGCAGCTTCGCAGAAGTGGATTTCATGAGCTGTGTGATTATTTCCAAGCTTTCTGTTCCATGAAGTGCAACACACTAAAAAGCTGTGGGGTAGAGATCATAAAGGAACACGAAAAAATATACTTAAGAAATTTATTGATATTATTGTGAAGTTCAGTGTAGTTTCTTGAGGTGATATTATGTCTTCATGAGAATAGTGTGTTTTCCTGCCAGCAGGGCAGAAACAGGTCAGTATTGTGCACAGGAGTCTGCTTCACAATGATTGTTTTGTGAATGGCTTCAGGCTGGAGCCAAGAAAATATTGAAGCTGGTCTAGGATAGAACTGCAAGCTATGTTCTTAGTTGTGGGAACTCACTCACATAATCAACTCTCTTCAGAAGTTTTTCATCCATTTAAACACACCTGTGAGTTACAGAATATTTGCAAATATTCACCTCCATCACACACGGGACAAAGAGACAGGGTGAATAGGAATTATCCTGAGGAAATATGAACTTTACCAGGGGTAATTTCACCTTTCTCAAGTGAGAGGAGGATTAAACACCTGCTTGCTCCAAAGTAAATGGTGCAAGTCCCTCATTGCAGCTATGGGCTGAGGAGCAAGGTGCAGCAAGAATGAAACTTTTGCGTACATGATAGAGAATACAGTTCTTCACCTGATGTTTTCTCCTGTTTTTCACAAGGGTCACGGCAAAGCTATTTAACTTTTTATGCATTCCAACACACATGAATTCTGTGGAGTCAAATACCACATAAAATGCATTTAGTGTTCTGCAACTTTGTGTTGTATGTTCCTGTTTACCTTATGCATTTGGCAAATATATAGAATTATAGAATCATTCAATCATTAAGGTTGGAAGAGACCTCAAAGATCACTAAGTCTAACTGTTAACCCAGCATTGCCATGTTCACCACTAAACAACGTCCTCAAGCCCCACATCCACACACCTTTTGAACACTTCCAGGGATGTGGCACTTCCCTAGACAGCCTGTTCCAATGTCTGGCTATAAATTGAGTGAGAAATTTTTTTTCTAATATACAATCTAAATCTCCCCTTGTGCAACTTGAAGCCATTTCCTCTTGACCAGTCACTTGGAAGAACAGACCAATCCCCACCTCGCTACAACCCCCTTTCAGGTAGCTGTAGAGAGTGATAAGGTCTCCCCTGAGCCTCCTTCTCTTCAGGTTAAAGATTCCCAGCTCCCTCAGCTGCTTCTCATAGGACTTGTGCTCCAGCCCCTCCACCAGCTTTGTTGCCCCTCTCTGGACATGCTCCAGCACCTCAGTGTCCTTCTTGTAGTGAGGGGCCCAAAACTGAACAAAGGATTTGAGATGCAGCCTCACCACTTCCAAGTGGAACAGGGTAATCACTGGCCCAGTCATGCTGGCCATGCTATTTGTGATCCAGACCAGGATGCCGTTGGCCTTCTTGTCCAGCCGGGCACACTGCTTGCTCGTGTTTAGTGAGCTGTTGACCAGCACCCCCAGGTCCTTTTCTGTTGGGCAGTTTTCCAGTCGCTCTGCCCCCAGCCTGTAGCACTTCATGGGGTTGTAGTGACTCAAGGGCAGGACCTGTACTTTGCCTTGTTGAAACTCATATAATTGGCCTCAGCCATAAAACTAACCTGTCCAGATCCCTATGTAGAACCTACCTGCTCTTGAGCAGATCAACACTGCCACCCAGCTTGGTGTTGTGTGCAAACTTGCTGAGGGTGCAGTCAAACCTGTTATCCAAACCATCAATAAAGATATCAAAATAAAGATATACGTAACAGCTTCTATCTAAAATTCTGGTACAGCTATCATAGGAACTTCTACATCATAATGTCCCTTTGATTTACTTGGTTTATAGTTCATAGCCATGTATTTTATAATTATATCACGTAATTTTTGTCCTCTTTCATGCACATTTTTCTACTAGCATAATTCCTTTAGCCTCAGAACGTCTTTTGATTTGTGCCTGAATAAGACCCAGGCCATCTCACATATACCTTAAGAAAGCAAGTTAAATGGTGCAAGGCTCATACTTTTGTTCTCTTCTGTTACTTTCTTTGAGACACCATAGAATTTCATTCTTGGATCCTGAGGAAAATGAAAAAGATTACAGTACCAAGATTATGAAAGATGCTGTAATTCTTCTGCTGATGCCCTTTTTAACTAATAAATTAGTTCCACTGTAGCTTCAATCCTGTTTTGTTGCTGTAAGTATTATTCACGTGTGTCTGCCTTCAGGTCTAAATTAGATGCAGTCTCTGAGTACCAAGTGAGTGCATATTGACATGTAGCCTAAGGTAAGATGGTAGTTGCAGATAATTATTTTGGGTGACATACTCTATTGCACATCCTTTTCAGAAGCACAAGAGCCCTGCAGGGGCTTTCTAAATTATAACTACCCAGTAGAAAAGATCCAAGGAGAAGAGCAGGTAATAAA